AAAAAACCCTGTTACCCGTAAAGGAAATTACTTCAGCTTCCGCAATCGCTTGCGGAAAGCTTCCGCCAACCGAAAGGTCGCTTACGTTTGCTATTTTTCGAAGATGGAGCTTACGCATAGCTTACGACAAGTTGCTCGTGCCTGATCCTCGATGAGCAAGAGGCGCTAGCATGACAAAGCAACAGCTGGAAAGAACGCCCACTGAGGTGCATCCCTCGCACTGCACACACGCCATGCCAAATGGTTAAGAAACCCGTGAAAGAGGATCCGTCTGCACTGCCACTCACGCATGCCAAATGGCAAAGAACACTCCGCACGAAGCGCCTCCGCTTTCGGACTATGCCAAATGGCGTAGAAACATCGCTGAAGTGCACCCTGTCAGCCTCTGCACGCAGGATGCCGAATAGTAAGAACACCGTGAAGTGCACTCGCTTTTCCGCTGCTACGCACGCATGGCCATAATGGTAAGCATACACCGCTCAAGTGCACCCGCTCAAGCGAGTAAAACACAAACAACGCAGTCCACGAAGGCGGCGGATTTCAAGTTCCACTGGGATAAGACATGTCTCCAGCCGGTGCCCGGCTTCTGGGCCCAAAGGGGCCCCCCCACCCCCCCCCCCCCACGTCTCCCTGCCATGTGTCCTGACTACGAAACAGAAAAATATGCGCGGCTTACTCTGAAATGAGTTAGTTACCGGGATGTTCAAAGACCCACAAAGATGCACGTTTGTCAAACTGCCTGAGAATTCAAGCACAAAAACCGAAGACACACAAAAAACGCGCGGGTGGGTATGTACCCGGCGCGCACTAAAATAGGTTCTAAAATGGGTGGTGCACCGTAAATCCCCAAAATGGGATCCCATTGGTGTTGACCCACAACCACCTAATTCCTTTTGTCCAACCTCACTCTCTCGCTGCGCTGCCATGCCCCCATTGTCCCCACCTCTTCGAAGGGACTGTGGTACTCCTGCGGAAGTGCTGGCTTCATTATTTTACCATGATCAAAGTCACCCCACTAAGTGGTGGTTTAAAGGGAAATAACCCCATTTTCTGACGTTGATACCCCCCAGAAACCGTCAGAACAATGACCTCAGAAGTGCTCAGGGAGCATGTCGTGAGGAGCTCAGAACTAGGCTTCAAGCCTGTCAAGTGATTGGCAGGGATTCGATGGGAGAGGGATGGTGGGAAAACCATGATCTTGATCCATTCTTGAGATTCCTTATCTCAGGGTTGCTCAAAAGATAGATGCTTACGGGCGCAACGGTTCTCGCTTTGGTTTCCATTTAAAACCCGCAATAAAGGTGAATCTTCAACTAAGGATACACCCAGTTGACAACCCCTTCAGATCGCGCTGTGCCGTGGTTCACTTCTGGTATCGCTCCTTTGGCTAAACGGCCTCAAACTGCAACAGCAAACCCAGGGGCATTTCTGCTCGATGGGCTCGAGGATCCACAATTGCACCGGGTGTTAAGACGTGGCAACTTCAACTTCAATACAATGGACGATCACCAACAACATAAACAATGCATATGGAAGGCAAGTCAACAACTCTCAACTCGCTTGACTGCTTGCAAGTGACTTTGATGACTGCAAACCTCGGCTTACTTGCTTTGTGTCTGGTGCGCTTCTTGGCCGGACAGAGCTTGATTTTACGGAGGCTTTGTTCAGGCGTCCAACCCGGAGTCAAACAAATGCTGACAGCATCTATGGGTTTGTTGTAAAATAGGGAAACCCACCCAGAAGTGTTGCTTTAATTTCCGCTGTCTTCACGCCGCTCGAGGAAAAACAAGACTCCACAAGCCTCGTAAGACATCTTCGAGTTTGGACACTATTCCCATTTGGTTGTGGGTGTTCTCCAAAGTCAGGTCCGTTTTGGATGGTTCTTGACGGAAGACCTGCAACCCCCCCCCCCTCGAATTCCTCAGGCTCTAACGACCGCGGACAAGGTCGAAAGTTGTTTCCACAGCATTTTTTACATGAATTCAGGGATGGCAGTGCACTCATTAGCTGTACCAATGTTCTACTCTTGCGGTCAGATCATGGTTGAGGTTCCTCGGTTGCTTTCTGCTCCCCTGCTCAAAGCTTAACTTTTAGTGGTTCAATGGAAAACCCATTAGTTGGCAAAAAACAAGTCCTAATATCCGAGCAAAATGCATCAAAGGTCCGGAGCAACTCCAACCCACAAGAAACGCCCACATCCGCACCGCGTCTTTCCGTCCTGAATCATCACCGGAGTGCTGGGGAACTCGCGCTCGTACCTGCGAACTAAGCTGTCCAACTTGGCCGCCGCAGTTTGAGACATGGGGGCTAGGTCCTCCAGTAGAGAGGTTAGAATAAGTTGGTACCAACTATTTTCTGTAGTCTACTTTAGTAGGGCGACCCTCCCAACCAAAAAAGGGGTGAGAAAGGGCACTACTGGGGGACCTAGGGGGCAAAACGGACACAAACCTCCTGAACATAGCGATTACACGGGGTATAATCCTCCCTGTACAGCCGCGCTGGAGCATGTATGGCCTCGAAGCTGAATTTTCCCCGCTGACTCAGCTACACCTGGGTCTGTGTGTGTGTGTGTGTGTGTTGTTGCTCTTCTTCAGGTTGGCTTAAAGAGAGAAAAGAGGAACACCACCACTGTTGGGATACCCCCGGCATCTCGGCACATATCTCGCTTTGCTAGGCAGCTCCGGTGACACTTGCAAAGCTGCATTGGCTGAACACGGTGGACACCCATCAGCCGTTGGAAGGGTAGTGTACCGTGTACCCTCCCAGCAACTAACGTGGGTGAAGTGCGCAAAAAAGCCCTTTCCAAGAGGAAAATCGTTTTTCGACAGGGGTCTGTCTGTGCACAAACCCATGTTAGCATCCAAAACCTAAAGTTTGCGCAACTGGGAGATTTGCGAAGGGCGTGGAAATGCGCCATGTCATTCCCGAGACAGAATCCGGATCATGGATCCCTCGTTCGGGGGCTTCCATGTCCACCTTCAATCATGCAGGCCGAGCCCTGTGCAACAAGCGCTTGGGGTCCCCTGCGTGTTGAGGAACATCTCGCGCACATGTGCCGCCTCGGATTGTCTCCCAATCGATTCCAAAAGCCAAGTCTATTTGACTGAGTGAGTTTGTGCACCCAATTGTCTTTGCCTATACTCTGCATTCATACTTCGGAGAACAATAGTGACCAAACCTGAGCAAGAAACCACGGGTCGACCCCTCAAGGCTTCTAGGGAGTCTAGGAAAAACCTTGGAATGGTTGCTTCCGGATAAGCTGCTCCCTTTGTTGGCGGCGACTCTGACTTCGGATCAAAAAGGCCAGCCCTGTTTGTGTGCGGAGCCCTTCTGAGTCTCCGTGTGGGGGTTCTGGCGTTGTCAGAAGAAGGACAAATTCATTCTCGGGATCCGCCGCAATTTTGAGGCATGGCGACATGACACATATGCAGGTGAAATGTTCATTGCGATGCTTTGCAGCTGGTCAAATGCCTACATTTGAGCATGCAATCAACACATATTTGAGTGGTTGATGTAGACGGGGCTTGACAAATATTGACACCAAGCGACCGGATTTCGAAGCGGGTCTATCTGTTGGGCATCAGCTGTCAAACCCGTCATTCACTTTGTTGCCCGTGCGGGGGGGGGGAGGGGTTCTTGTTTTGTCTGTGTTTGATACCAGAGATCCACTCATGAGCGCTTCCTTGCTTGCCAACCTCCCCAAAGCTAATGCAGCCCATTTCCTTGCATCCGCGTTGCCAGCAATTGCAGCGTCTTCCTTTGCATCACTGGCATCTCTGCGCGTTAAAACATTGATCCCGGCTTTCCAGTGCCTAAGGCAGCTTTGAGCTCGCTGACAATAATCAACCTGAATTGCTCGATGTGCTTTTGGACATGGACTGCTTCCTTTCGCAGCCCCCAACCCTCACATCTGATAAAGTTGTATCCAGTTAAATCAACGAGGTGTTTTGTTCAAATCCAGGTAAGTGGCTTCCTTTTGGTTTCCCTTTACAACCCATCAAAAAAGGGGTCCCCCATTTTGAGAACCCCAAGACCCATCACAGTCACCGATTTCTGCTTCAGGACGAAGGCAGGCTGACGGCCGAGGCGCAGGGTTCGCGGTGTTGAAACTGTTGTGGAACCTGCGGCGGATCGACTCCGGCTCCGTGCTGTTTGCTGATTTTCGTTCCCCTGTACCCTCCCTCCCATGAACGTGAAACTTCACAGGCCCCTTTAAGGGAACATGGTCCAAACCAGGACCCCGCCTGTCAGGTTCTATGTCAACTGGGAGGGTAAATCCACATCATTTCGAGAAACACTCCGCGGAGCATCCTCGAATCAGGTGCCATGCGTTGAGAGGGTTGCCGCTCCGGGAACGGCCCCACCCGACTGTTGGCCGCCCAAACCCGAGAAAAGAGTCTGATCTAAGTCTTCGTGGCTTCCGTGGCCCAACAACCACTCCATGTAAAAACCGTTCCTCAAATCCCCATGTGGAGAAAACGGAACAGAACACTGCAGTTGCCTGTAGGAACAGGAACCTTTTCAGTGCCAAAGTTGATTCCCACGTCTTTCTTTCCAAGCCACGCCAGGGAGCCTTGCTCTCTCTTTTTGCCTAAGGCGGGCAATCAAAATTTGGCAAGCATCAACTCAGCCGCAATTGTCGTAATCCCAGAACCATGTACAGGGTTAAGAAGGCGGATGTCCGCAGCTATTTATGGCAAGGGGATAGTCCCTTACTAACCTTCATCCACCCGGGTTTTGATCGGGGTTTCAACTCGAAGTGCTACGTACTCACCTTGCAACTTCCAGGCAATACCCGGCGGTACCCTAGTCCGATTTCCCACATTGCCACCGCTGGATCCTCGACCTCGAGTTTCTATTTTAATTCGCCGGCCCAAAAATGAGTCACAGCCAACGCCTGGACCGAAAGGAGTCTACCCAAAAACGTGCAAAGCAGGAATCAAAGGGCGGCTGCACCAATGTTCATGATTGGGGCTGTTCCCCACGGACTTCAACGTATCCAGCTTCTGAGAGTGGCTCAAAACAAGGGCTCAGGATACACACTTTCATCATGGAGGTTGCGACAACTGTATCTGAAAAGCAAGTGTGTACGGGTATGTCGAACATCACTTGGGACAACCTTTCATTCCTTGAGTTTTATTGAATGTCCTCTTTAACATCATCCTGAATGGAGACTCAGTCAACTGGCTCAATAGGTGACATTTTCACAACCCCAATTTAGCACAACCCCAATTTAGGGGAGCCCAGCAAACGGAAAGGAGGGGGCCACTGTTCAAAGCATATGTAACCCCTGCAATTGAACCAAAAGTGACCAGGAGGCGTCAACCAAACTCGGCAAGACTCAGACATGCAAACAAAAACATATTGCTGGTCGAGAGGGGACACTTTCGTTTGGACAGCAAAGAAAGGCCAAAAATTGCTGGTGCTCAGAAGGGAATGTGGGAATGAATACAGCTCATTCCCTCAGGACCAGCAAGTTTTGGCAAAATGCCAAACAAATCAGAGAGCTCCTTCCGGTCGTCCCAGGTCCAGCCTCTCTTCATAAAACTCCGTGAGGTTGTGCCGGGGCACATAACCTAAGTCGTCAAGTCGTCGGCTGACAAGACTGTCCCGCATACGCCCGTTCTTGGAGGTATGACCAAAAACCGTTAAGCTCTCTTTTGGCCCCTGTCAATATGAAATGCTTGTTTTGGTAAATTGATCTCCAACTCACTGAACCTTTCGACCGCCTCACACTTGGTCGTCCCTTCATGTCCTCCCCAAAGCAGTGGACTACCAACTGTATTTTCAGAGAATTTCCGGTTACTCATACGGGTCTCAAAATCGGAGACTGCCCATCCCCCCCCCCCAAAAAAAAGGAAGTGGGTATCTTAAATATTATCTTCGTTTCGGTTCGGGTATGAGCTTTTAGTTGGGTTACCCGTGGACATGATTTGGAGATTTCTGTCCACCAACAAAACCATCGCCAATGGAAACCAACCCCTATCTCTCAAACTTAACCAGGGGTTCTGTCCAAACCTTGGTATGGTAGCAACAAACTGACTAATTATTTTTTTGCGGACTACAAGGATCCGAACGAAAAACAACAGCTAAAACAAATTTGTGAGATAAATGCCATGAACCCCCCTAGGATCCTACTCAAGCGCCCAGCGCCTTTTGCTCTCGCAGGGCTTAGGCTCAAGGGCCCTAATCCAGAAACGGCAACAAGGTGTACATCATGATGCAAGCCTACTCTCTTGGTTGCTGTCGACCCCCCTGCATGTGTTTTTTTTTTTTTTGGGGGGGGGGGTTAGTGGAAAACCCCTTGATTTCCCCAAAAGTTAACGTCTAAAGATCCAACCCAACAGCACTCAAGATCTGGGCTTAGAAACGAAACACCTGGCAACAGACCCAGGGCTTCTTCTCCTGGGAGTTCGCACCCACCGCCTCGGGATCTTCGAAGGCGTCCTAGCGATGTGTGAAACTCAGCGATCTCCGATGTGCTTGCCCATTTGGGAGTGTGTTTCTGTGAGGGGAACCCCTTTGGGTTGGTTTAAAGGGAAACAACAAAGATATCAACCACTTTGGGGGGCTACTGTGAGACACGCCATATGGACGGGACCCAACATGGCGGCTTTGGTTTCCAACAATTGTTGGCGGCACCCAATTGCCTTTTTGACGAAAGTTGCCAAACTTCCGCCCTGGGCATCTCGTGCCTTTCATGTTTTGGAGGAGCCCTGGAAACATCAAACTCGCCGGGTCTTTGATCGAATCGTTCAGCTTGGTAAGGTGGGAACCCTCTTTTCGTAAGTTCAAAGTCTCATCTTTGGGAAAACAGGGTTTTCCGCCTCCACCCAACAACAAACACAGATGCTTCTCTAAAAACCCGCAAAAAAACATGGGTTGAGGGTTCCCGTGCTGAAAGTGAAGGGTGGAAAAAGGTGAGTCCTTAAGCAAATGGAAGTGGCTCCTGGAGCAAAAGGAATTGAGATCCCATCAATTACCACCAATTAACATGGAACCCACCAGAGGGTTTCTTGGAGAAACCTAGTCTTCCAGGAACTCGTGGATGGACAAAATCATGCCCCAGTTGGCGTGGATGAAACCCTGGTCGAGCGTGCAGATGGCAATCCCCAACTTGCTCTTGCTTTGGATTTTTCTGTGAACGCCCAAGGCTGTCCAAACCGCTGTAAGTTACCAGCATCTTTTGAATGCGTCAAGCGCGCGTTTTGTCTAGGTCTCGGGGGTGGGGGGGTTGCCTACGGCGGTAAGAATCTGCTGGCGGCATGACTTTTGTTGTCGTTTTGGCAGATGCCAAGCATTAGGGATGGCGCGGGGTGCTATTAAATAATGCTGATAATGCAAGCAATGCCGGGGATGCATTGCGTGCAACAATCCAGTGTTTCTCAATGTTGTCCGAAATCAAATGCCCGAAAAAGAGACTTCTAAGAGCACAATAATGCTGGGGATGTTCCGCAGCAACAGCCAAAGACGTTCGCCAAAACACATGTTTTTTCAATTTGAGCAGTTCCTAGATTGTCACACTTGCCCCCACCCCCAAACAAGTGTTGGCCAATGTTTTGTGGAAGCTCCCAGATGCCCTGCTAGGTCCTCCAGTAGAGAGGCTCGAATAAGGGTACCCTTTTTTTTCTGCAGTATATTTTAGTGGGGGAACCCTCCCAACCCAAAAGTTGGTAAAAGGTTGCACTGGGGGACCTAGCCTGAACTTGGTTGACGTTGGAAGGGGGGCAAAAGTTAAAAGTTTAGCAGTTAAGTGGTTGGGTTTCAACCACTAAGCCATGAGCAAAAATGGGAAAAATGGTTCCCAACAACCATGTGAAAGTCTCACCTACAAAGTCTCACGAGCTCACGATTCGAGCGCCCGGATCCGACCCCCCGCGCCCTGAGGACCGCCATCTGCCCCAGGGCGGGCCGAGTCCTCGGCACACGAGGGGGAGGGGGGGAGTTTTTTGGTTTCAGGACATAGCTCAAGATGAATCAAGAACCAAAGAGGGAAACCTAAGCTGTTTGTAACCAGTTTGAAGCAAACCTGAGCTAAAACTGCTTGAACTACTTAGGGTGAATGATCTTGATTTACTTCCAAACTCACACAATCGGACACCTGCCCCAATCTGCACCAACTGAGTTGCAGTAGCTGGGGTAGCCAGGGAATTCTATCCAGGGTGTTGTGGGGACCCATGTAGCCTGGCTAAATATCTCCAACTCGCCGCGAATCCATGGATATTCATGTGGTACCGGAGTTAGTTCTGCCTTCCAGCCGGGTTTTGAGGAGGCTAGTTGCGATTGTTCGCTGTTTTGCGTTCTTCCTTTCTTCATCTGTTTCCCCTCTCTCCGGTTTTTGGGGGCATTTGGCTTGGTCACCAGGCCTTTGGCTCCCGTCATTACACTCTGAACAAGACAGATTAGGCCAATGTCAAAAACTTTCCATGAGGCTGCTACGCTTGTGAAAGGCCACCTGGGGATCGAGCCGAATGTCCAGCCTAGCTCACAGCTGCCAAGAAGTCTCTTTTGCTTTCATTTATCAGTGGTGCTTCTTGGGTTCAGCATGCTTGACCGTTACGTTGTGGTTGTTCTGACTCTCTCTCTCTCTCACTCTCTTTGTGTGTTTTTTTTTTCTCTCTCTCTCTCTCTCTCTCTCTCTTTCTCTCTCTCTCTCTCTCTCTCTCTCTCTCTCTCTCTCTCTCTCTCTCTCTCTCTTTGTTCTTTGGGTGACTGTGCGACTTCTTGAGGGTCACTAACTGCGGGGTCGTTTTCGGCCAACACCGCCGAGCTCGACCTCGACATGTAACCGATGGGTACATACCATAGCTGGAACCGACGCTGTGTCCGGTGACTGGGAACCGGGCTTGGACTTGGATGCTTCATGAATGCATGTCGCCAGCGGGTCACGTCCAGAGCCTATGCAACTCTTTGCTTCGAGCTACTCGTCTCCGGAGGCTCTCCCAACCGCTGTTCCCAAGGCCATGCACAATAGCATCCGTTTCGACACCCGACGATATTTCCACCAGGCCCATGGGGGACCACCCGCGACTGACAGGCGTCAACCTGCAAAACAAATAGGGGACTCGCCTACCCAAAACCGATACGGCACTAGGACGTTCCCTGCTCATGTGCGTGATGTGGTCACTTGGCTAGTGACTGAACTGAAGGCGCTAACAAACCACTATACCAAGTGGTGCGAAGTCGATTTTGCCCATCCACAGTATGTTGCGAAGTTTCACAATGACAAATCATTTCAAAAGGGGCATTAGGAATCAGCCCATTTCTCATTATCATTTGTAGTTGGCTTGGTTGCTTCACTCAAAAATACTGACTGAAAGTGGGTCCACTCATATGGGTTTTGATCACAATGCCTGGGCCCCAAATGACCAAGGGTCCCCTTTCGCATGCGGGAAATAACTGTTTTTTTTGGTATGGTTTTCCGACCAATGGTCATCATCCCATGTGTTTCGGACCATTTGATCAACCCCCATCAGCTTCCCTTGGTCTTCCGGTTGCTTTCTCGCCTGAAAAAATGGAAAATATGTCCAGTAGTGAAATCGATTCCTTTCAAACCAACATGGGGGGATATCTTAATCAAATCTCAGTTGCCCAAAGGACCCAGAACTAAAAGGTTAACCTTTTGGCACCTCTACTAAAAATGGGCCAAAATGGGAAAACCAAAAGGTCAAAAGGTCGGCTTTGGACAACTGAGAAATGGAAGTGGTGGTTTGCTGTCGTTCATTTTTTCCGCGTCTCGCCCGACTCGGCTGGGCGCCCCGACGCGAAGTCGGGGCAAGCCGTGCAAACGCCGAAGGAGAACCTGCAAGTCTCATGGCGCAGGTTTTCCGTACCCGTGTGGCTAGGACAAGCAACAGGACCATGTTTTGGGAGCCACATGTTGAAGGGTTCTCAAACTTTTAATGTGGGCTGGTTTCTCTTTGAAACCTTTGGCTAAATATCCGTCAAGACAGGATTCTAAAATTCTGGGGGTACCTTCCCCATTCTTTCCAGGGATCCTTCTTTTCAAGAAACCATCAAAAAACCCAAGGGAAACGGCTGGTGTTTGAAAAGAACGCAATCGGCCCCTAACGTGGGCTTTCCCAGACGTGCCGACCGGCTCTTGTTTGCCACCAGTCTTACCGAAGGCCCGGGCGCCACGGTGAAGTTGATCCGCGGCCCGGTGATGTTCAAAGCGTCCTCCGCGTCGAGCCTGGGAATTCGGCCGGCTCTTGTTGACCCAAGCGGTTTCTTTGGACCCCAAGAGGAAGGAGAGTACTCCCGACGGTGGTATGTCTCAAAAAAAAACGGGACCCGCTCGGGGGGCTCTATCAGGTTTGAGTTTATCAATGATGCATGAACTCATCGCTGCCGTCTGAAATTGCCTCACCCTGTTCCTTTCTCTCATTCAGCTGCACCCTCGGCTCCTCAATCCTCGATCGGTGTCGTCCGATATATAGGATGATGCACTTGTTCCTCACCACGTCGTACACTGTATACGGCAGCACTGCAATTTGATTGCTGTGGTGTCAACTTCGCATGGTCATCACAGTAGGCTTCGTCCTGTCCACCTCATCTTGAATTGTGTAAATCAGAATCATCTTTCTCTCGCGACCCACTTTCTGCATCATGCTGTGTACTCTGTGGCCTGCCATCTTCTTCCCGCCCTTTTCCTTTTGGTTTCCCCTCAACCCAAACGAATAGGGTATCCTCAAAAACCTGGTGTCAGGGTTCCTCAAACACGGCTTGGTCCACCGGTGCATATTTTTTCCTGAGAAAGCACATCAAAAGAGTTGGAGAAAAGTCAACTTAGTTGCAGCTTTTCTTGGATTTCCATGTCCACACCCATCCTTTTCGACCACCAACCTTCCTTTTTTTAACGGCTTTTTCGATACATACTTCCCAGAAAACCTGCATAACATCGTTTTCCCTACATTTTCCACAGGGCGCAAATTCCATTGACTTTGCGCGCCAACGTTACCGCAAAAGCTAAATTAAGAGGCCTCATTGTAAACCGCCCCGCACCCCAATTAACTAGGTAGGAACAGAACCACCAGAATGGCCCATGAATCCATTTTGGTCGTTGCAATTTTCCGGGCCGAATTTGGCGCGACATGTCTGGAACAGGTTGCACCCTCAGCCAACGAGCAAACGGTCGATCACATTTGTAGGTTTCATGTGCTTTGTTTCCGAAAGGTCTCTCGCGGGTCACAAGACCGGTGTATGCAGTGCACTTGAAAAATTCCCTTCAATAGCGATGCTTCCCGACTTGTTGACGCACTCAGTGAGTGGATCGGCAAAGCAAGAAGCCATCTTGCCGTTGGTCCTCCTCAAACAGCTTGAAAGTCGAATCATGTTGGAAAATGTGAAATCAGTTTGAAAGTCGAATCGTGTGGGAAACATGTGACATGACTTCTTCACCCCTGGCACCGCATTTTAATGAACACCCTGGGCGAAGAAATCACAGAGCTCCTTGGGACCTGGACACCTGGGCCCAGGGACATGGTCGATTCCCAGCAATCTGGGGGGAGAGGGTGTGTTGGTTCCCCTCTTTTTTCAAATTTCGTGGGTCCATTCTGGCAGCGTTTTTTTTCGTGTCCGACAAAATCTAAAAACGCCACATGAAAAGACTGCATTCTTGGAGTTGCCGGTCAAGGCGCAAAATACAACTGACGTTTTCAAGGCAAAAAGGACGAGAGGTAACGCCCCAAGCAAGGCTTTTTTTTTAGTCACCGCTGGCATCAGACCAATTGCGCAGTAAGAAGTCCATGGTTTCCATGTGGCCCCGAGCCCCTGAGCCAAGCTACTCCGATTCAAAACGTAGGATGTCACGCACTCTTGTGACGGACTGGCAGCTGCCAGCTTCAGACTGCATAGCAGCTGCCGGAAGCGGCCGGGCGCGGCTGGAAACTGCCGGAAGTGGTCGAGAGTTTTTGGTTTTAACCGAGAAAAAACAAAACAACAACAACCAAAACAACACGGAACAAGTGGTCGGAAGTGGTCGGAAGTGGTCGGAAGTGGTCGGAAGTGGTCGGAACTGGCGGCTTCCTGGTCCAAGAAGATGTCCGAAACTGCGTATTTGGCGATTAAATTTCAAAAGTGGCTCTCCAAACGACGACTGAAAACATTCTTCTGCTTCCGGACACTTCCGGCCACCCTTTCCTCTTTTTTTTTATGCGAAGACATTTTTTTAGATGTGTCTAACCACTTCCGACCACTTCCGGCCGTTTCCAGTTGCTTCCGGCGACTTCCGGCAGCCATGAAGCTGGCAGCTGCCAGTCTGCAGCTGCCAGTCTGTCACGAGAGTGCGTGACATGCCACATTGCTGAAACGGACCCATGTGTGTGTACCGTATCACAACAAACATAACGATATAAGATTGCGCTCCAGAACTTCAAGATAGCCCTGCCCGAGAAGCTCCAAGTACATGCAAACAGTTGTTGCCGACACACGTTCCTGGCAGGCGCGCATGCATGTATGCTGCGGAAACATGCCAAAGAGATCCAGCGCGCACAGCATCAGCAAGAATACAAAACTCGCATGTGCGCCCGCCAAGTGCGCTATAGCTAGCCCAATCTGCCCATTGTACCAAGGGCTCATTGGTCCCATTTCACGCGTGGTTTCGCGGTTTTACTTGGTCGTTCATGGGAAAACTCACCAAATGTGCAAAATTTCGTCCAAAACCCAATCCCATTCCAACCCTAAACCCCAACGCTAAACCAATCCTACACCCCTAACCCTTAACCCTAACCCAACCCTAAATCAGCCCTAAACCAACCCTAAGCCAACCCTAAATCCACCCTAAACCCATTTTAAACCCACTGTAAACCAACCCTAAACCAACCCTATACCCACCCTAAACCAACCCTAAACCAACCCTAAACCAACCCTAAAACCAACCCTAAAACCAACCCTAAAGCAGCCCTAAACCAACCCTAAGCCAACCCTAGCCACCCTAAACCCACTGTAAACCAACCCTAAACCAACTGCAAGCCAACCCTAAACCAACCCTACCCTAAACAAACCCAAACCACACCCCAACCGCTCACCCACCCAATCCCCCCCGCCCACCCCCCCCCCCACACACAGAAAAGAGGGGAGAACTAACATGGGTTTGCGCAAAAATGCACTTTCCAATGAGGGGGACCGTAGCAGCGGGGTGGGATCCGGGGTCTCGGGTTGGGCCGCGCGGCGGGGGCGGGGGGAACCCTACCCTTTGGGGGGGGGGAGGGGGGTTGGCGGCCTGGGGACTGGAACATGTATATATATATATATATAACTTAATCACGCACACTCTTCAAGCACTTGTGGTACTTCCCCCCCGTTTCGCCCCGCCCTGCCCCAACTGGCGCCAAGGCGCATGGCATCGATGGAGCTGAGGATGGCGCGGCAGAACTTCTCCGGCTCCTGGATCCCTGGCCTGGACGGTTCTCTGGCGATGGGTTCGATAAAAACGGAATCTTAGCGAATTGGAATGACCCCCTCCAACTGGTTTTCTTTACAATTCAGCTCACATGAAAACACATTATGCAAACATAGTTCAACTCGAGCTGCCACTCAAGAAGTGAAAAAAGCGCACGCTGCTCACAGCGTCCCGCTCTAAGGGAATCCCCAAACCGGTTCCCTTGTGGTTTACGTAAGGCACGTGAGGACTCCATGGTCTTGCAAACGTTTGACACGTACGTCCGGTGAAACTTGCGACATGTCATTCTTTTTCGGGGGCAGCTTCCCACTCTGCCCAAGTGCGGTGCAATTTCAGATCCGGCTCGTTGATCACGATCACTTCCCGCAGGGCGGGGTGGTAGCTACCTCATCAGCCCGAATGGTTCGCAACTTGGGGAATGGAAGGAGCTGCCCTCTGGGAGGGTACCCGAAGGAAAAAAAGGAACCCCGCCCGGCCCATGATATGAGGCCGAAGAACTACCTGCTTGGCTTCAAAAAGGGGTGTGGGCTGGCCGAAGGTCTTTTTCCCAAGAAGAATGCAGTGAATCATTCCTTCAACCCTCAGGACAGAATTGACACAAGTTATTCGCCAGCAGCTTCGTTTTAGAGGAACAGCCGACTTTGTGGACCACCCGGCAAAGGGCTTTCATGGTTTTGTAGAAACGCCCTTTGCTGACTCTTAAAGTCTTGCAAACAGATTTTGTGTTTTGCCATAGGCTTCCTTTTGCTGGAATCTGTGTGACACGGTGTGCTAAAACTGGGACCTATTTGAGTGTAAGGAACACTATGAGAAAGCCCATCTTGATCCATCTTGTTTTCCTTTGAGGGGAGCCTGCACGGACAGCATTGAACCAGTGAGTATGGGTCAAAATTACACCACCAGGGGACCGCAGGGGTTAGTCCATGTCTTCACTTCCCAGGATTCCATTTCGAGTACCTACTTTTGACCCACAGCCAAATGCAGGTTTGACGAAGTTGGCTCGACCCGCTTTTGGTTTTCCTTTCGCCGCGCCTCAACATTTGTGGGAAGCCTTGCCCCAAAGGGCACAACTCCACACGAGCCAAGGTTCGCACCTTCCAGATGAGCAACATATGGATCACCTGCTCCAGGATGAACGAAAATAAATTTGCCCAAAGATCTCAGAACCACTGCGGTTTGTTGGGAGTTCAGCACAAGACAAAATAATATGGAATAGGCCAAGACAACAACACCCAGAAAAATGCATAACTATAAGACAAGCTTGAAGGAGACCCCAGCTGAATGATTTGCCAAGGGGCCGTCTTTCAGGAAGCCCTTTTCAAGGAGCTCCCCGTAGGACTTCCGGATCTAGCAGCGAGTGACGGGTCCCGGGTGTCGACCAAATTTTCGGTGGGGGGGGGCGTTGATTCTTCCTCTTGTTTTTTTCCTCTGAGCTTTAAAGGTGCTGTGTGTTTGTTGTAACCCCCCAACTTGGTTGACGTTGGAAGGGGAGGAAAAAATGGATTTCAATAAGACAAAATGTAAAACGTTTCCCAACAGCAACCATGCCAACCTGTATTTGCAGAGGAAGCGTCTTTGGGGGCCGCCAAAAAGGGTTCCAGTTTGATTTGTGTTGACTTTTTGTTCGCATGTTTTGGAAGAACAGGCTTCCATGTCTGTCTGCAAGAGGGTAAATCGGTCGCCGCATTGCTTCGCGATTTGCTTTGCCGGAGTGACTAGGGTGGCCTTCCTTTGTGCGCAAAGGGCAGTTTAGTTGGCATGCTGGCACGGAGATACTATCACTTACCCCTGTTCGTTGGTGGCCAGTTCTTAAAAGAAGGCCCCTTGACAAGGGGCAAGGGTGAGCGACCCTTAGAAAGAATGCTCAGGGTACTGGATTGCTCAGTTGACAATGCAGCCTGAACAAGTGAATCACCCTATTTGATTGCCTTGACCCAAATGAAGACACCTAGTAGAAGAGTCAGGCCCATGTGCCAACTCCAGGGGTGAGGTGCCCGTTATGGGTTATACTTGCTCCCTAAAATGTGTCTTCCTACCAAGCCATGCGTGTTTTTGGGAGGCTACCCTGGCAGAATCTGGCAGGAGAAACATCACATTCTTGCGGCTTTTTCACGGTTTGGTTTCTTTGATATCCGATAGTGGCCAGACCCCCAGTTACATGGGCTCAGATTCGACTAGAAGGTTCCACTTTGGCTTGATTCTCGTTGGACGAACTACTGTCCGGAGACTGTAGTCGTCACTTCGCGAGATTCGTGCAGAGCGCAAGGAGGACTTTTAACTGTGCAGAAGATGGAGCCGTTTTCACACCGATCAACAAGTGTACCGCCGTGTAAATGAGGGTAGGGGTGCTGGAATCCCTCTTGGTGATTTGGGCAAGGCAACTGAAAGGCAACCAATTCGCAGCCAGCAAAATTTTCGGGTGGTGCCCCACTTTGAAGCACGCCAAAAATCGGGGTTTGTCTTGAACCATGGCAAAAAGTAGGCAGCGGGGGGGGGGTGTAGATGGTTAGCTATGGCTGAGTAGCACGAGGAAGAAGAGTTTACCTGGGGATTTGCTGGGGTCTGGGTCAAAGCTGACCCCTCCGAGATCATCAAGCCGTCCAGGGGCCGCCTCAATTTGGCACATTGAACCCCGTTATACCTTTTGTGGAAGACAAGCACCAGTTGGAATGGATGAAGCCTTATACGAGGGGCCTGGATTTTGTCCATCCCCTCCGCTGGTTTGTTCCCCGAACCATTCGAAGGCTACACAAACAGGCAGAGGAAGAAATGACCAAATGACTAGACGTGGCCAAAGGATTCTTAAGCCTGTTAGGTCGCCCAACCTACCAGTGATATCCACCAACAGAGTGGCTTTCCTTTTGGCTTTCCGAAACCACAAAGCTATAGACATCTTCGTGTGTGTTTTTCGGGGACCCTTTAAAAAAGAGGGCGGGTCGGCATGGGGGCAGAGTTTTTCAGATTTTTGGGGGCTGAGTTTTTCAGATTCCTGGGGGCTGAGTTCTTCAGATTCTTGGGGGCTGAGTTTTTCCATTAAAAACACTAAAAAATACCAAAAATACAAGATCAAGACCCGTGACCTCTTAGATTTATTGGGGTGCGTGTTTTTTGTTTTCTTTGGCTGATGACATGCAAGCACAGGTTCATTTTCGATCCAATGAAGACTCAGATGCATCCAGACATGGAAAATGAGCTGGCTTCAAGCTACACAGAAGACAGCCTGTTGAGAACTATGTTGCACAAATATCATTGTTGGACACAAACATTTAGCAAACGTGTGTCTGTAGCTTATTTTTGGATAATTGGCATGCTTACGCATGCCAAGTTTATAAACCTCAGGGTGCTAACTTTTGGAAGACGTATGTTTGGCACAAATCTTCAACACAAGTTGCATACGTATGCAATATGTTGGAAGACGTATGCTTAGCAATCTGCAAGCAGATGTATGTTTGGGACAAATATTATTGTTGTGTTGCAATTCTGAAACACGTAAGTATGGCAAGCACAGCTTGCCATGCATATGAAATCATAAGAAACGTAAGATATCGCTGATCTATGCAGCTTTCAGCTGCAAGTTTTACAGTTGGATGTTCAATATTTCAATATACGCATGGGCTCTGCCCATGCTCTTGAGAAAAGACAGCTAACACAAACATATTTATCGCATAATGAGCTGGAGCAATTGGAGCACAGCTCCAATCTAGTTGCTTGAGCTCAAAAAGCACAAGATGCAAAGATGAGCACCTGCAACGATATCTGCAGATGCAAATAACATTCTCTGCATAAAGCTGTTCAGCTTTGGAATAAGAGCTTTGGAATAAGATTCTCTGCAGCTTTTCGTGTTGCTGAAGAGCTCTTGCAACAGTAAAGCTGTTCAGAATAGATTCAAGTAGACACAAGCCACAAGCAATTGCTTGTGATGAGATGTTACCTGCAGAAAATGAAATGAGAGATGAGATAAATTATCTCCAGATACCTGGAGTTACCTGCAGAATATCTTGGAAGAGGCTTATGTTCTGTTGATACACATCTCATCATATTATTGATGCCTTGCATCAAGAAAGCTTGCGTCAAGAAAGCATCAACAAAGTATTGTCTTCAGATGATAGGCTGTTTTTTTGGTTTTCTTGGTGTTTATGAGCAAAGGCACCCAAAAAAACAAAACAAAAACAAAAAACAGACCCATGGCCCTGAACTAGCAGATGCAGATGATCGGCTGTGTTTTTTGTGTTTTGTTTTGCCGAAAAAAAAACTCAGCCCCGCGGAATCTGAAAATACGCAGCCCCCATGACGACCCCTTCTGTTAAAAAATGGGTACCCTCGACAAACAAGTCTCACCGGGGACTCGCAAAAAACCCTTCCGGTCAAGGCCTGCTGGAAGCAGTTGAAGTTTGTGGTGAGGCAACTCTCAGGGCTTT